GTAACTTCATATATATAACTTTCAGAATAACTCCTGCTGTCTTAACAACTGTGCCTTGTTAAGATGAACAAGTATTCCAAGTTTCATGTGATACCTTTTACAGTTTTGAAATCTTTATTCTAAAAGAAAGTCTTATTAGAGTTGAAAAGGGGTAAAACTCCAACAAGAGCCCGGTTTGAGCCGGGTGATGCTCCCCGAATAGGTTTTGGACACAGGAAAGTACACCTCTTGTAGTTTCAGAGTTATGTCCCTGGAAAAAGGTCAAAGTGCAATAATTCCAAAATTAGGAAAAGCAGAGTTACTGTTCTTTGCACTGCACTTCTAATCACTGTTATCTATCAACTTACAAAGTTTCTTGTTGATATCTCTTATGGTTTCCGAGTTATGTTCCGGACAACTTCAAAAAGTAAAAATAAACAAATGGCAATAACTCCAGAATTAGGCAAGGCAGAGTTATGATTCTCATGCACTGCACATCTACCCATTGAGATCTATTCACCTACAAAGATTCATGTTGATATCTCTTATAGTTTTACAGCTATGTCCAGTACAAGATTTTTCTAAAAGGGGAGATAATTCAAAAATGAGGCTTAACAGAGTTATGGTTTTTTGCACTGCACTTCTACTCAATGAGATCTATCTACCTACAATGTTTCATCTTGATATCTATTATAATTTTAGAGTTATGTTCCGGACAAAGTTCAGTGTTAAAATTAACAAAGGGCAATAACTCCAAAATTAGGACAAAAAGAGTTATTGTTCTTATGCACTGCACATCTACCCATTGAGATTTATTCACCTACAAAGTTTCATGTTAATATCTCTTATAGTTTTGGAGTTATGCCCCGGACAAGATTTTTCTATAAGGGGAGATAATTCAAAAATGAGGCTTAACAGAGTTATGGTTCTTTTGCACTGCACTTCTACTTAATGAGATCTATCTACCTACAATGTTTCATCTTGATATCTCTTATAGTTTAAGAGTTATGTTCCGGACAAAGTTCAAAGTGTTGAAATTAACAAAGGGCAATAACTCCAAAATTAGGTCAAAAAGAGTTATTGTTCTTATGCACTGCACATCTACCCATTGAGATCTATTCACCTACAAAGATTCATGTTGATATCTCTTATAGTTTTAGAGTTATGCCCCGGACAAGATTTTTCTATAAGGGGAGATAATTCAAAAATGAGGCTTAACAGAGTTATGGTTCTTTTGCACTGCACTTCTACTCAATGAGATCTATCTACCTACAATGTTTCATCTTGATATCTCTTATAGTTTTAGAGTTATGTTCCGGACAAAGTTCAAAGTGTTGAAATTAACAAAGGGCAATTACTCCAAAATTAGGACAAAAAGAGTAATTGTTCTTATGCACTGCACATCTACCCATTGAGATCTATTCACCTACAAAGTTTCATGTTGATATCTCTTATAGTTTTAGAGTTATGCCCCGGACAAGATTTTTCTATAAGGGGAGATAATTCAACAAGAGGGCCATGATGGCCCTGAGGTCGCTCACCTGTATATAGCCCCCGTCCCCCGCCCCCTGGCCCAATTTTTACCCAAGGGCTTTTATTTGTTTATTTGAACAGACTTGGTAGACACCCATAAGAAGATGTTTCATGCAAAACATCTAAGTTCTAGCTCATTGGGTTTTTTAAAAGAAGATTTTTTAAGTTTTTACTATACACATATAGTTAAAAACAATGACATCCCTCGGGCAGGGCCAGTTTTGACCCCTGGGCTTTTATTTGAACAAACTTTGTAGATATTTACTTAAAGATGTTTCATGATTAATATCTAAACTCTAGTTATTTGGGTTTTTTCAAAGAAGATTTTGCTATGTATATAAGGAAAATCAATGACCCCCGGGGCGGGGCCAGTTTTGACCCCAGGGCTTTTATTTGAACATACTTGGTAGACACCCATTAGAACATGTCTCATGCTAAATATCTAAGCTCTAGCTCTTTGGGTTCTTTAAAAGAAGATTTTTTAAGTTTTTACTATATGCATATAGGGAAAATCAATGACCCCCTGGGGCGGGGCCAATTTTGACCCCAGGGCTTTTATTTGAACAAACTTGGTAGACACTCACTAGAAGATGTTTCATGCCAAATATCTAAGCTCTAGCTCTTACTGTTCTTTAAAAGAAGATTTTTTAAGTTTTTACTATATGCATATAGGGAAAATCAATGACCCCCCGGGGCGGGGCCAATTTGATCCCAGGGCTTTTATTTGAACAAACTTGGTAGACATTCACTAGAAGATGTTTCATGCCAATTATCTTAGCTCTAGCTTTTTGGGTTCTTTAAAAGAAGATTTTTTAAGTTTTTACTTTATGCAAATAGGGAAAATCAATGACCCCCTGGGGCGGGGCCAATTTTGACCCCAGGGCTTTTATTTGAACAAACTTGGTAGACATTCACTAGAAGATGTTTTATGCCAAATATCTAAGCTCTAGCTCTTACAGTTCTTTAAAAGAAGATTTTTTAAGTTTTTACTATATGCATATAGGAAAAATCAATGACCCCCTGGGGCGGGGCCAATTTTGACCCCAGGGCTTTTATTTGAACAAACTTGTTAGACATTCACTAGAAGATGTTTTATGCCAAATATCTAAGCTCTAGCTCTTCTGGCTCTTTAAAAGAAGATTTTTTAAGTTTTTACTATATGCATATAGGGAAAATCAATTACCCCCCAGGGCGGGGCCAATTTTGACCCCAGGGCTTTTATTTGAACAAACTTGGTAGACATTCACTAGAAGTATTTCATGCCAAATATCTTAGCTCTAGCTTTTTGGGTTCTTTAAAAGAAGATTTTTAAGTTTTTACTATATGCATATAGGGAAAATCAATGACCCCCTGGGGCGGGGCCAATTTTGACCCCAGGGCTTTTATTTGAACAAACTTGGTAGACATTCACTAAAAGATGTTTCATGCCAAATATCTAAGCTCTAGCTCTTACAGTTCTTTAAAAGAAGATTTTTTAAGTTTTTACTATATGCATATAGGGAAAATCAATGACCCCCCGGGGCAGGGCCAATTTTGACCCCAGGGCTTTTATTTCAACAAACTTGGTAGACACTCACTAGAAGATGTTCCATGCCAAATATCTTAGCTCTAGCTCTTACAGTTCTTTAAAAGAAGATTTTTTAAGTTTTTACTATATGCATATAGGGAAAATCAATGACCCCCTGGGGCGGGGCCAATTTTGACCCCAGGGCTTTTATTTGAACAAACTTGGTAGACACTCACTAGAAGATGTTTCATGCCAAATATCTAAGCTCTAGCTCTTACGGTTCTTTAAAAGAAGATTTTTTAAGTTTTTACTATATGCATATAGGGAAAATCAATGACCCCCCGGGGCGGGGCCAATTTGATCCCAGGGCTTTTATTTGAACAAACTTGGTAGACATTCACTAGAAGATGTTTCATGCCAATTATCTTAGCTCTAGCTTTTTGGGTTCTTTAAAAGAAGATTTTTTAAGTTTTTACTTTATGCAAATAGGGAAAATCAATGACCCCCTGGGGCGGGGCCAATTTGGACCCCAGGGCTTTTATTTGAACAAACTTGGTAGACATTCACTAGAAGATGTTTCATGCCAAATATCTAAGCTCTAGCTCTTACAGTTCTTTAAAAGAAGATTTTTTAAGTTTTTACTATATGCATATAGGAAAAATCAATGACCCCCCGGGGCAGGGCCAATTTTGACCCCAGGGCTTTTATTTCAACAAACTTGGTAGACATTCACTAGAAGATGTTTCATGCCAATTATCTTAGCTCTAGCTTTTTGGGTTCTTTAAAAGAAGATTTTTTAAGTTTTTACTATATGCATATAGGGAAAATCAATGACCCCCCGGGGCGGGGCCAATTTTGACCCCAGGGCTTTTATTTGAACAAACTTGGTAGACACTCATTAGAAGATGTTTCATGCCAAATATCTAAGCTCTAGCTCTTAGGGTTGTTTAAAAGAAGATATTTAAAGATTTTTCTTTCGGTTGCCATGGCAACCAGAGTTCTGCATGGAATTAAATTCTTTGAACAATTTTTAAAGGTGACCACCAAAGGAACATTCCTGTGAAGTTTGGATGAAATTGGCTCAGTGGTTTATGAGGAGATGTGATTTAAAGCAAAAGTTTACGGACGGACGACGGACGGACGCCGGACGAAAAGCGATCACAAAAGCTCACCCTGTCACTTTGTGACAGGTGAGCTAAAAACCGGGCAAAATAGAGTTATGGTTCTTTAACACTGCACTCCCCCTCAATGCCCTCTACCACTGTATGAAGTTTAAACAAATTATCTCCAAGTGTTTTCAAGTTATGCTCCGGACAAGAAAACGGACGGACGGACGGACAAGGCGCCGACTATATGCTCCCCCGAAATTTTTCGGGGAGCATAATAAAAATACAGCTTCCAGAATAATGCTGTTTGTCTAACACCTGCCTATTAAGCAAGCATTCAAAGTTTCAAATTGATACATTTTAAATTGTTCAACTATTCACCTACATTAGAAGTTTGTGCACAACAACAAAGATGATGATGCAGCATTCACAATATCTAAACTTTTTCTTCAAAAACAAACTGGCTGAAAATCTTTTAGCTCGCATATTTTTAGGGGGGGAAATAGGTCCATGGAAACTTGTTGATTCAACAATCTGGCCATTTCTCTTTCAATAACTTAGTGTCATGCTATGCTACTGTACTAATCAGGGAAATTAACTGCTGCAGACTATATAATTGGTAGACTAAGGATTTATACGCTTTTTTTCCTCTTTAATTTGGTTTCATGTCGCACCAACACAATATAGGTCATATGGCGACTTTCCAGCTTTAGTGATGGAGGAAGACTTCAGGTGCCCCTCTGCACAAACCGGCACCCAAGCTAGCTGGATAGCTTTCTCACATTAAAGAATCTGAAGATGCAAGCGCAGCTCAAAACTACAGCAGTGAGAACATAATACAGAACACTAAGGTATTACAAACAACAAACAAGATATAAATTGAATTGTTTTAGTTGATCCATGTATATTACAATTATTCTTAAAGTAGATATATCATTAAAGTTACATTACATTTGAGACATTCAAAACATTTTTTCTCTCTGTTGGACAGCAGCAACAGTTTCTTGAACGGTGTTCACCCAAAAAAAAAAAGTTGTTTTTCTAACATTTTCCAGTTCACTTATATACATGTACATTTAATTCATTAAAAAAATGATTATCTGTATTAGGCATATACTTTAATATTTCTTTAGATGGAATCTGTATGTCAAGTAAAATTATGACACTAAAATCATAGTAAAGGTGCCCCCCCCCTTCAATTTAAAACAGGTTTTCCACTTTCTTACTTTACTAGGACAAATGACACTTGAATATTTTGGCCTTGTGGAATCCTACAAAGCATATATTTTTTCAGATGGATACAAGTCCTACAAAAACATACTCCTGAAATAAACCCTTCTTTATCTTCCAATTGAGCATCAATGGAAAACTGGCAAGTACTGGTAGTATTTAATCCGGTTCACTTCATTTTAGTAACTCTTATAATTATGACCTAAATAAATAAATCAATACTGCTGATTGACTGATCATTTGTTTAACCATTTTCCACTTCAGAACTATCCTTGTACAGTATAAATCTTACAATAAGATTACAATTAATGAACAAATAAAACAATCAAAATAGCCCAAGTATATTATCATATGATAAAAATCATTTCAATCATAATAGTGTCACATTTACAAATTTTCTTTTACATTACAAACCATTGTTAAATGAGAAAACTTTCCATAAATAATTGTGATTTGAATTACAAAGCAATGGAATGGATGACCATTTAATGGAAATCTTAACCCCTACTACATACAGTATCTTAAATTGTCTATTTTTCAGCATGGTCTAAACCACTCCATATTTTTAGGTAAAAATATCTAAAATATGTCCAGACTGAATAGCAAACAGACTTAAGACCATTAAATCAGAAGACACAGAGGTGCCTGTGATCTTGATCTGCACTGGTGGCATGGGTTAATATGGGGAAAAAACTTAATAAAATAGTTTCATGTATCAATTTATGCCAATTTACACTTTTTAAGATCATGTCAGTAATATCCATCCAAACAAAATTTGCATAATTTTGGGAAAAAAAAAAAAAAAATAAAGAATATTAACAGATTATTGTTTCTTTTTGTTTACCTAAGATCTTTTATAACCACAAAATACAAATTTTACATGTAAAGTTGTAAATATTATAAGAGAATTTAATCATGACATTTGCTTGATTTAATAAAATTAAAACATAATACAATATAGTACATTAGTGTTCCATAATTTCATTAGAAGATTACTTTATGATTACAAAGTAAGCTAGCTGTCAATATGATATCATTATCTTACATTTATTCTTTAAACCTTGAGCACAGTAACACCTTTTAGTTTATGGAGCAAACTTTTTATTTCATTGTGCGTATTTTTATCTTTTGAGATGGTCCTACATCAAGTTGACAAACTCTCAATATATTCCTGACATTATACATTCTATGGCAGCATTTGTAGTTTAATGTCAATGCCAAGAATATAATTTTGTAAACTTGTCCTGCACATAGTGCATAAAATCATATATAATATATAGGACAGAAGTCCTACTGCTTTGTAAATCACTTTTTGGTGTTTGATATACAACAAATGATGATTACACTGTCTCTTCTCAGTGTGTCAAGTATGAAGTAGATCTGCTGAACACCTACAGGCATTCTTTAAGAATGTTTTTGTAGACCTTTGATCTGATGAGAATAATCACAACACCAAAATGAAGCCATGAGAACTAAATTGTGATCTATTTATACACTACAGGATAATGAGCACAACATAGATTATCAAAGCACTAAGAACACTATATGAGCAACAATTCAGCTCTTGTTCTGTTCACTTAATGGTACAAGATTTCCTGGTGTCACATAATCTCCGATCATGAACTGACTACTGATTGGATATTGGCTGTACGTTCCCGTAATAACGTTCTGAAAGTTGAAAGAAGAGAAAATATTTTTTATTAATTTTTTCAATAATACTACTATAAGGAAAGTATTTTCTCACTAATGACTTATGCAATATGTTATCAATTCAAGTAATTATTACCAATGATAAAATATCCAAGGCTCAATCAAAAATGTTATCATAACAAGATATGTTTGTAAAACATGTATGCCCCCTATCAGCAGCCAATTATTCATGTGATAAGGTAATTATGCATGACTTCTGACCCAGTGATCAAACAATTAATAAGGGTTATCAAGTATCTACTGGTCATGACCTTGACCTTTGACCCCTTGACCCAAAACTCAATAGGGGTCATCTGCTGGTCAAGACTAATCATCATACAAAGTTTGAAGTTCCTAGGCCTAAGCGTTTTTAGTTAATTGATCAGAAACCGTTTTACCTACAAGGTCAATGTGACCTTGACCTTTGACCCCTTGACCCCAAAATCAATAGGGGTCATTTGCTGGTCATGACTAATCACCATGCCAAGTTTGAAGTTCCTAGGCCTAAGGGTTCTTTTATTATTGATCCGAAACCGTTTTAACATACAAGGTCAATGTGACCTTGACCTTTGACCCCAAAATCAATAGGGGTCATCTGCTGGTCATGACCAATCACTATGCCAAGTTTGAAGTTCCTAGGCCGAAGCGTTCTTTAGTTATTGATCAGAAACCGTTTTTACTTACAAGGTCAATGTGACCTTGACCTTTGACCCCTTGATCCCAAAATCAATAGGGGTAATCTGCTGGTCATGAAAAATCACCATACCAAGTTTGAAGTTCCTAGGCCTAAGCGTTTTTCAGTTACTGATCAGAAACCGTTTTTACTTACAAGGTCAATGTGACCTTGACCTTTGACCCCTTGACCAAAAACTCAATAGGGATCATTTGCTGGTCACCACCAATCATCACACAAAGTTTGAAGTTCCTAGGCCTAAGCGTTTTTAGTTAATTGATCGGAAACAGTTTTTACCTACAAGGTCAATGTTACATGACCTTTGACCCCTTGACCCCAAAAACAATAGGTCATCTGCTGGTCATGACCAATCACCATACCAAGTTTGAAGTTCCTAGGCCTAAGGGTTCTTAAGTTATTTGATCGGAAAGCAATTTTACCTACAAGGTCAATGTGACCTTGCCCTTTGACCCCTTAACCCTAAAATCAATAGGGGTCATCTGCTGGTCATGACCAATCACCATACCAAGTTTGAAGTTCCTAGGCCTAAGGGTTCTTTAGTTATTGATCGGAAACTGTTTTTACCCAAGAGGTCAATGTGACCTTGACCTTTGACCCCTTGACCCCAAAATCAATAGGGGTCATCTACTGATCATGACCAATCACCATACCAAGTTTGAAGTTCCTAGGCCTAAGGGTTCTTTAGTTATTGATCGGAAACTGTTTTTACCTAAGAGGTCAATGTGACCTTGACCTTTGACCCCTTGACCCCAAAATCAATAGGGGTCATCTACTGATCATGACCAATCACCATATCAAGTTTGAAGTCCCTAGGCCTAAGGGTTCTTTCGTTATTGATCGGAAACCGTTTTTACCTACAAGGTCAATGTGACCTTGACCTTTGACCCCTTAACCCCAAAATCAATAGGGGTCATCTACTTGTCATGACCAATCACCATACCAAGTTTGAAGTTCCTAGGCCTAAGGGTTCTTTAGTTATCACTCGGAAACCATTTGGTCTACGGACCGACGGACCGACAAGTGCAAAGCAATATACCCCCTTTTCTTCGAAATGGGGGCATAATAATAAATGCAAATTTGAGCCTACAAAAAATACATTAATAATAAAACTTTCTTAGAAAGAAAGACCATCAACATTACAATTACGATAAGATGATATTCAGTGTTATTTTGCAAATAATTATGCTAAATTTATTCACTACTGAATCTAAAGAAAAACATGTTAATAATCTGTTCAACATTCTCAAGTTAGTTTATAAAAGTAAAAATCTACAAGTCATACATGCCATAAAATGCCAGACATCTGTCTTTGTCACAAGAATGAAAATTACTAAAGAAAAGAAAATTTTTGACCCAGTAAAAACAGTTAAAATTTCAATAATAATCTTAATACCAAAATGAACTAGAATGTTAGCCACGATGTAAATCTTATAAACAATTTACTTGTTTATCTCAATGACTACCCTTCCCTAATCCCTGATGAAATATATGTCCCTGAAAGCAGTCTAGAAATCATGGCTTGTATGACTTCAGTACAATTATGTATCATAGTACTTGATTGATGTCAAAAAAGGGAAAACCTCACTAGCTTTAATTGGACAAATTAAAACAACTTATTTCCTTTACGCCTGAAACTTTTGTTGATTACTATACATGAACGAAACAACTGTTGTGTATGAAATAAAGGTTGAATTAAAGTTATATCTCCATCTTGAATTATTCTGCACTAGATCTTTTCCATACATATATAATTATGTGTGTGTAAACATTTAAATAATGCCAAAAGTATAACATCGGAGATTTCTTCCTAGTATTATTTTTTTACCAAATAAAACAAAAAACAAATGTCGGGATACAACTGAAAACATGCATTGATTACACACCTGTGGCTGTGTATTTGAGAAGTTAATAGGGCTGATTCCCCCACCTATTGACGTTCGGTTGGCAGAGCTGTTGACAGCCAGGTTTAGAACACTTGGAATGCTACCAGGATTGATAGGGGCACCAGCTAAAACAACAGTAAATAATGTGTATGAGCTTTCTATAAGAGTAGAATACACTACTGTAAAACGCTCGATATATTTGCTAACAGACAATTAAATTTTCAGAAAGATACTTATCATTCAGTACTCATTAGTACCAGTGTAGCAACTAAACATAAAATTTCCCAGTCCTTTAACCCCCTTAAATTGTTCTTTTTAACAATGAAATTATGCTGTTTTTTTCACTCTATTGCTTTCCATTGGATTGTTTTCCAACTCAAAATGACATAGGGTAGTGTAACATCCCTAATCAGGCATAAAAATCTTTTTCACATTTTTTGGGTCTTTTTTTCCCCCCATCCCACTTAATATATGAAGAGCACTTTGGGCTTTCAGGTTTCCAGACATATTTAATGTTAAATTATAAACTGCACTAACATAGTGTCTGGTTATGTATCAGAATATGCATTACTTACCAGTATAAGTAATTTAGCAGGATGCCCCTATCAACCACAAAACAACTGTCCTAGCAAATGTATCTTAGTTTTACAGAGTGCATAATTATAAATATATGTAACAGTCACCTCTCATCTTTACTACTTTATTTTCAGTAGCCAGGAAGAGATTTATTCCAATTTGGATATATACATTAACTTGTTGTTTATAAACATAAGGAGTGTTGGTAATGTGTATTTTCAGTTTGTATCATATAATCTAATTTACTACAATTACATGCCTTTAAAATTCACAAAAAACAAACACACTAAGTCTTGATGTAAACATGAATGAAATGCCAAATGACACTATGATATATTATCTTCTACAAAGTGATGTAACTACAGACTCTTCTCTTGCAGGTTAATTATTTTCTAATAGTGCCATATACATATTAAACTAGATGAGACTATTAAAAGGTTCAAGACTCCATAATTGTAGCATAAAATGTATGTTCAGACATGAAATTTTTACTTACAAGTTTGTACACAGCAGCCTTTGAGGGTGACCTTGCACTCATCAAAATCAAAACTAAATTCATGCCTTATGATTTTCTCAATTCTAATGTGCATAGTACAACTTACTGTGACTTCAAAAAGTATGAAGCTTAAAGAAATCTGTTCATACTGTTACACACATGGTTTCATGTTTCACTGCATCATTGACAAGCACATGATTCTATCTATCTACTCTTTAATTCTACATATATCCAAGCAGTGGTAAATATTGTGTACATATATATGTACTTACACATTGGTAAATAATTAGACGTTAACTGTATCTGACCTTGTAACTGTAATGTGTTTGTGTCACCAATCACTCCGTTCATCATACCGCCATTAAGAGCACCAATAGTATTGTAGTTCTGACCTGTACAGTAAAACATTATAGAATATTAGTTGATACACAAGTTATTAAATTATGATTGTGTAAGAAGCTTTAACATCAAATAACAACCAGTACTAAGCAATTAATATTAAGTTTCTTGTGCAAAGAAACAACAAATAAGCATTGAACAAACTAGCCAAAAAGGAAATGGGGAAGAAGTGATCTCCCTTTCAAACAAAAAAAGATAAATTTTCACAAGACGGGGAGAAATGGGTTTTAATTTGATAAATACTAATATATATTGCCTTACCTGTCATTAATGTGTTCCAGTAAGCATCACTGGGGGACTGTGTTTGTGTGCCAGGCTGTGCTGCTGGCGTTTGACCCGTGTAGCGGAAGAATGGATTCTTGAGATCGAGACTGTTTTTGGAGATACTTGTAGTTCCCGGGATATTCAGCTCAATATCAACATCGTAGCTTTGCCTAAATTTGAAAAATAACTTTAGTTCATTTATATGTTTAGTTCTTTTTTTAAGAGTATTCCTTTTATATATTACTCTTGTTACAAAAAAAAAAAATCGAGTTGAGATAAAGTTAGTGCAGCCTGTCCTTGTTGGTTATAAATGGAATAAAATTCAAGGCCTTTATTAACATACACTTTAACATTGTTGGCTCGAACTTGGATCACACAGTATCACACATGCTATCAACATTTCTAATAAACAAATAACTAAACTAACTGATATTTTATGATAAACCCTACCTTTTATTACACCTGAGAAGACACTTTCCTGTGAGGCTTTGTCCCTGCTTCACTAGGACTGGTGTTTGAACCAAGCATCGAACCTGGTACCAATGTGTTAATGTTTCTGTGGGACTTGTTGACAACCATACTGGTGTTCTGAAAACAAAGATTACAAATGGTAATTTCATGAAAACAACAAATAGAAACAAATAGTTGAATAAAGCAAAATATATACACATAGCATAAATGGATGTCAGAGTATAAAAATAGTACCGGATTAAAGACATGTTTTAAAGAATATTTAAATTTTTATTTCATTATGGTAACTTACACTGTTCCAAGGAATGCCACATCAAACCAGAATGCCAGTCCGTGTACCAGACCAGTTTGGTGTATAGTAAAATTCAATGGAATTTCTATCACATGTAAATCAGTTTCATCTGCTGTTAAAAAGTCTACCGTGTGTTTTAATGACTTTGCTAAACACATTCGTATATCAAATGTGTCCTGGAAAAAAAAGAGAGAGAAAAGCATTGAAAAACGATCAAGATAACAAAATAAGTCTATTAAAAGTAACAGTTGTGTTTAACATATATTTTCAAGATCAGACAAATTATTGACAAATTAAACATTAAGAAATCATAAATTGTACAATAAAATACTGTTCAAAACAAAGTCTTACAACTATAGGTTGTTTAAAGTATTCTTCGACAGCAGCATCACGTAAACTTGTGAGATTTATGCCATGAAATGACTCCTGATACCAGAAATTTGCTTTAGAAAATTGTTCCATATACAATGCTTCATCTGTGAATGGTGCAACATGCAGATCTCCTTGTGTCGGGTACATTTTACCTGTAATTACAACATTTATAATCTTAGTCAGTTGATATTTGAAAACATACTAATACAAAATATTACATTTTCATACAATATTCAAAGAAATTATGCACAATGTTCTTAACAACAAATTTCCTTACACTCTGAATCAATACTTGTGTAAAACATATTTCCTTTTTTAATTAATAGTCAATGTAACAAAGTTACTTGCAAAGATTAGCTGGCAGAAAAATGTGAATCTCCAGTTTTGACCTCTTGGGTGTCAACAAGTTAAATATTGACAACACATGACTGATAACACAGAGCTTTCCTTTAATTACACTATGGTGAGCTCAAAGACATTTTAGTAACATTTCAAAAAGAGATTTAAATTCTTATACCTGTTTTAGGCTTTAACCATTTTTTTGCATGTAAAAAGCTTTCCAGCATACGTTCATTGAAGAGCATATAGCCCATAGGTTCTGATATGATTGTATCCACTTTTTCTGGTAAAGAAACCTCCTCAACCTTTCCTGGTATAACAATAATCTTATCTTGAAGTTTGTTGTGCCGCACCAGTTGCTGTAAAAAACCAAGATAATTTCCCATTTCATTTCTGATCCAACATTGCAACTATAAAATACTTTTAATGGTGTATAAAGTTCACTAATTAGAACTTTAACTACTGGTTATTATAACATTATAGAAGAGCAGATTCATTTTGGAAAAGTGATTTTTTTTATAGTTATAAAAACTTTTGTGAAAGGAGAAAGGTCCAAATTAAGAAAGAGTTATTACACAATAAGCTACAATTATACATTACTTTAAATGAAACAAAATACGAAAGTTTTGAAATGTATATATGTACAATATGTAACAATTACCTCACAATATTCTGCCATGTTACTGGCTTCTATGGCATAAACTTTTCGTGCTCCAGCTTGTAAGGCAAAAAATGACAAGATTCCAGACCCAGCTCCTACATCCAGCACCACCTGGTATTCATAACATGAACTGTTACTCAAGTAAAAGTATTAATAGTGTACATGTGAGAGAAAAAAACTTAGAGAAAATTCAAGGTTTTCAGCAACTTTGAAAAAACAACAAATGTCTTTCGATACTCTGATGTGAAGACAATGACAATTTTATCTTTATACTCTTATCGTTAACTAAGTCGTACGTGCTCAGGGCAAATAACATGTTATAAGAAATGAATGACATACTTAATTTTGGGATGATTTCAGTTAGTGCTATATGAAAATTGTGGATTGATTGGTGACTCTTACTTCTGACACTCTCAAAAAATATCAAAGAAATTATAATATGGTTCTACTTCATGTTTGCTTTAAGGAAGAAAAAGTAGTAACTAGTATTTACTTTATCCAAGAAGTCATTTATATTTGACAACATTGCTCTCTGGTATGTGGAGGTTCGTATGTAGTCTTGCATCATATTCTGCTGCTGTGAGAGGTAGCCATAGAACTGTAACAAAATTATAATCATCCTATCAAATCAAAATCACCAAATAAAATCTAAGAGCATATCTAAGAGCATCAACAGTTTTCGTATACATGTATACAACTATAATCAAAATAATTGTTTTTCACATACTTGATTTCATTGAACAAATCTAGGATCAAACTTTTCATTCATGATACAAATTGTTTATATACTCTACTTGTGTTGACATACATCAGATAGTAACTTACTGAAGTATCTGATAAGACCTACCTGAAAATATTGCACTGCCGAAGCCTCATCTGTCCTGTCTGTAAATATGGATGACAATCCTTGCTTTAACTCCTTTAATTTGAACTGAAATGACTTCACATCTGAAATGGAACAGAATTTTCTTTACAATGAACCATGAACAAAGTGAATACAAAATTTACTACTTTTAAAATGACTTTTGCAAAATTTACAAAATATCTATAAAACAAGAAAATAAGTGAAATAGAAATCAAAAATAGGCACACATTTACTTTGCAATTTTGTAATGCTACTGCACAAAGTCTTACTGATATATATCAAAATTTTCTTTTTAATTAAAAAAACTTTAGAATAATATATTCTTACTATGTATGCTATCAAATTTGAATAGTGTGCTTTCCTGATCTTCTGAGGTGACAATAAAAGCTTGTTTCCCTAAGCGGCAGTACTCAGCTTCTTTAGTAACTATTACCGATTTCACCTTCTCTTCCCCTGAAAAAAAAAACCCAACTTATATACATAACTTCAGTAAGTCATCTGGTGCCCTATATTTGTCCCTGTCCCACTCCCAGAGTCAACACCAAGTCAGAAAGTCTTGTCAGATGCTCAGGGTTCCCGCTGTTGCTCGCCAATGGCTCCAAATGCCACAATATATTAATTCTGGCGCATAAAATCTTTAATTGGCGAATTTTACTGGCGCCAACGTAAGATAAAAATATCTGACAACTAGTGCACTTAAAAGTAATAAGATGCCGCGATAAATACATAAGCTGCCCAGATGTGAAAGGTCATGCGCGATTAGTTTGTTTATCAAACTGTTATCATCAAAATGTGTGACACTTCAGGAACATGTCAAGATGAAAGTGTCAACATGTTAATTGGAACAACTACATGTATAATAACTATAACCGGACACAAAATATACCCTGTGACAGACTATGTAAATCTTTGACCTCCAAGTGTGACCTTGACCTTGGAGGTAGGTGACTGGTTGTTGCGCATGTCACATCGTCTGATTATTGTGAACAATTGTGGCAAGCATATACCCTCAAATAGACATTGTTGACCTTGTATTGAGCAAGTGCTACCTTGACCCTGGAGGAAGGGGTCTGGTTTTTGCGCATGACACATCGTCTTATGATAACAAATATTTGTGCAAAGTAATTTCATATTCCTTTGATAAATGACAAAGTTATGGACCGGATATGAAAGTGTGACGGACGGACAGACAGACGGACGGAGCCTATTTCTATATCCGCCTTTTTTCTTCGAAAAGGCGGGGGACAATAAGTCTCCCCCAATATTCTTTAACATTGTGGTCAAAATACTCTTAGGGTCACTGAAATTGGTCCTTCAACGATATCATATATCTAAATACAACAAGACACGTCTATTCCAGGATATAGTCCAACTGGAAGCTAATCCAATACAGAATGAACCTTATATAAACTCCTGGATAATACACTAATGTTTATTTCACAAAATCATGGAACTATCTTAGTCCTATAAATATGACGTCGCTTTGAGATATTTTTGCTTCTGGGCAAAGCAACGTAATATCGAAATTGCTGAAAAACCCATAGCATGTTCCACCAGAAAATCGGGCGGAACGAAAAACAATTAAGAAAGCGTGTATTTACATTGGTTTTGACCTATTTATGAACAAAACTAAAAAATAAATACCTTTTGTCAAAATAATTAACTGTCACATCCGAAAAATCATGATTAAATCCTCTCATGTATTTAAATTCCTTTTACAGCCGATAAACAAATGGCGGCCATACAGTGCGCCAAATCTGATTGGCTTATTCAAATGCAAGCGTTTAACTGAGTCAGAACATTCTAACGGAATATTTTTTAACGAGATAATTACCCATGCACTGTCACTCCCGTCAGTGTATTTAAAATATATTTTTCCGTTCAAAAATTTGGTTAATCTGTAAAGCACCTTGCTTAACCAGTATGGCTGATAGACAAAAATAGATTGATGTTTATATTTATTTTAAATTGATAACTACATTGTTTTGAGAGTTTTTGTGTATGATTGAGCATAGAATTGAAAGAAAAGAAGATAAGCTTTTGAATAAAGCTTGAAAGGCAAGACATCTTTATAGACATTTTTTGAATTTTTTATGATGCTATGCGTTTTTGAGCAATAACTATTAGACGTCAGGCTTGACCGACATAAACTATAACAAGCATGTAACGTCTAATATTTTGGACTAGGAACTATCTGATCTCACAGACACTGTCTTAAGCAGGTCTATGATTTCATGATATTTACGGACAGTCTGTAAATTTATGGACCATCTATAATTTTACAGATTTTTCTATCTGTAAATTTATAGACATTTAATGCGAAAATAGTATAAGTTGTATTAAAATCAAAAACCGCAGGTTAATAAGAATAAATTTACTGATTATATGATTAAATGTAACAGTACAATAAGATTCATAACAATTTGATGACTTTCAATTTTCACTTTTAACAAAACTTTCAAAGTCATCATACAAAGATGAAACTTATCTCATTACCTTTGTTAATAAAAACAATCAATAATGAATATAACAACTTGTTTTAAGCTGCGGACTTTAGTGTAAAACTAAAGACAGCAAATTTAACATTGAGGATCTCTAAATTTATGGACTGAAATATCTTTAAATTTATAGACTATCCATAAATTTACTGACAGTCCATAAATATCATGAAATCATAGACCTGTTAAAATGATAGCTGTTTTCCAAGAAAGGTATTGCTTATTAGTTTAATTTACTCTTGATATTGTTAACAGTAGTTTTAATTGCTCATATGCCTGCTAGTCATAATCAGAATTGATTGTGAAGCAGTATGATACCGGTATGATGTAGATATATAATTTTTCATAAATAAATTAAAAATCGCGAAAACTTATTACATATACATTTGAAACTATAAATTGCAATAACATTTTTCTACTTCTTAGAAGTAATTAAATGGCGCCATTAAATAAATTTGAAATGAATTTATTTGAAAAGTTTATGATGCGCAATAACAATTTTTTAAAGAAATTATTAAAATCCACTCTCAACCGCGGGCTTTGTTCCTGTTGAAATAAAAATATTTTCCAGAATACAGGCAGAAATAAGGCAATAAAAACCTTTATAAATGCACAGAACAACGCTGTCTCCTTGTCTTGACATGTCAATTTGAGCACTGAATTCCTTTGTTTTATCATATTGGCCATTTTCGTTTAGATCGGCAACGATCACGTTGTCAAATTTCGTCGCCATTTTCTAATTTGCAATTTGAAAGAGAGGCTGAATAAATGTCCATCATCATAAATAGGTCAAGTGATAAAACTGTTGAAATGTAATGTAATTATCCGCTGGCCTTAAATATAATCATAAATGTGCATTATAAATCGTAAGTGATGTGATTTGGATAAAACAATTTGTTCATTTTGCTTTTGGATATGAATTGCATGGCTTTTTGTAAAACGAAAGTACAATTTCATTCGGACCCCTCTGACTTTATTCAAAATGTCAACCAAAAGCCATGTGGGAGAAATTTTTATGCCAGGAGATGTTGTTGACAATTTGAAAGTGTCAGAGAAAACATCAAAAGCAGTACTTGGTCCAGGATTAAGACAGGAAGTAGAAACAATAATAGTTTCAAAACCTGGTATTCTTAGACATAAAGAACCAAATATATATTGGATTGACAGCCATCAAAAAAGGGTAAACTAGCTACTGTAACAATCTATATACAGTAGAGTATCTAATCTTTGTATTTTTATTTTACAAATGTATGTCAAACCCCTTCGACTAAGAAAAGGAACAAGACACTACATCCCCAGACACTCCATACACTTTATTACTCAATTAATTATAACTGATATACTTATACATGAATATACCGGTAAATGCTTTTTTAATGTTTATGTGTAAAATTTTTCTTCTGTTCCTAAAATTAACTACAGAATAATGAATTTAAAAAAATATTATAAGTTATTTTAATCAGTCAAACTTTCTTTGTATGAAAGCCTAATTAGTATCAAATGAAATAAAATATAATATTGGTAAGGCGTTACCAGAATTAACAAAAGGCGTAATAATGCAAAAAAGGCGTAGCAATTTGAATAAAGGCGTATTTACACGAAAAAAGGCTTTATAACTCAAAAAAGCCATAGTAATGTGAAAGAAAAGGCATCATTATGCAAGGAGTGGCATAGTTACGCTTGAAAAGGCGTGGAAATGCCTACTAAAAGGTGTCAATAACGCAAATTAAAAGGCGTTTCTTAAAGCAAGTAAAGGCATTATTAAGCAAATAAAGGCTTTATAACGCGAATCGAGAGCTGGAATTACGTGAATCAAAAGGCTTATTTACGCAAATCAAAAGGCGTAATAAGGAGAATCAGAAGGTGTAATAACGCAAATAAGTGAATAAAGGCGTTATAACCAAATCAAAAGGCGTTATAATGCAAACATTAAACCTAATAACGCGAAACAAAAGGTGTACTTATGCAAAACAAAAGGCGTTATAATGCTAATTTAATACCATATAAATTCTTATCAGTGGCCTAGTAATATTAGAAAGGAAGAACAATGTTGATCTAAATAAATTGATCAAGATGTGCGTTTTATTTTCATTTCTGTATGGATATGTCCTAATGCCACTGTCTGATTTTTTAAATCACTTATTAGGAAATGCTTTCACCAAATTAGAGGTTAACTATCACCCAACTATTAGATACTTTTCTACAAAGACAAAGAAGACAATGTCTCCTATAATTATGACTTAACTGAAACACTATCACCCTTTTAAGCGTACCTATCAATAATTAAGATACACTTTCACCCTATTGTGACTAACTTATACCTTATGTTATTCCAGATCTTTTTACCTATAGCCTATAACCTATAGCTTACTTAGGAGCGACAATCACAAAATTAGAAGATACTACAGGTTACTAGTATTAGGTAACAGTACATATCCGTAGATAATTAAACATATGACACACATATAAAATAAGATAAGGTAAGGTAAGGTAAAATAAGATCAGAAATTTATTTACTATAGTGACATGTGTAAAATCAATGATGTGATACATGTGAATTCAGAGTAACTGTATTTACATCCAGCCCAATGGACCTATAAGTCACCAAGTCACCTTATATTGGCAATTATCAAAGAGTCTTCATTAGCGCATGACAAATAGTTTACATTATTACTGCACAAATGGAATGATAGTTATTGCAAATGTATATTATAATATACTAGTTTATATCTTGAGCAATAAATTCAGATCAATATTGTTCTTCCTTTCTCACGTGACTAGGCCATTTGATTTGTATAGATATGGTATTAAATTACTGTTCTAGCGCCGTTTTAATTTGGTTTGCATTACTACGTCTTTATTGGCGTTACTACGCCTTTTGTTTCCTGTAGTTATATATGCCTTTTGATTAGGGTAATAAGGCCTTTATCGCTCATTCTCAATAAAACTCAGCATTTGATGTTCTACTGGGTAGCTCTTAAACGAAGGTTTTTCTTGAGGTCAAAATGTCGTTAGAAACGTGGCTGCCACTTTGTCTAATAGGAACTCTCTCAGTTTTACTTTTTTAAATGGTATTTTTCTTTTATAAGTACCATTAATGCCCTAAAATGTAACATACGTTACTGTCGCCACCTATAATTTTCAACTTTGAAATTATGTTTCAGAAAAATAAGTTCCAGAATAAACGAAACATGTGCAATTAGTCATTGCTGCGTGTATATGCACTTTGATTATTATTAAAAATTATATTTGACTGTTAAAACCTCATTGATATAATGGATGAAAAATTGTCGCCAAGTATATGTTAGTGTTCATCCGTGCTGTTCTACAGAAATTAGAAACTTCGACGGGAGCGATAGCGACAGGAGAATGTTTCTAATTTCTGTAGAATAGCACGGATGAATACTAACATATTTAGTGTCAAAGTGTCACTTTTGTACTTCTATGAAAATTAACGCACATAATTTTTAAGAAATACAGCGTTTTCATTGGATGACAAATAAAGTTGGACAATAAATGCATATAAGTAATTAGTGTCCAGCTTTATTTGTCATCCAATGAAAACACTTTATTTCTTAAAAATTATGTGTGTTAATTTTCATAGGAGAAAAAAGTCGATACTATATTGAAATCCGTTCATAGTCGCCTTCTATTTTTCATAGTGCTTCATAGTACCGCGTAGTGACATAATCAAGGGCCAAATAAAGCTTGACACTAAATATGTTAGTGTTCATCCTTAGCTGTTCTACAGAAATTAGAAACATTCTCCTGTCGCTATCGCTCCCGTCGAAGTTTCTAATTTCTGTAGAACAGCACGGATGAACACTAACATATACATAGTGACAAACCTAAAACAATTAGAAGCGAAACAGACATTATATAATTAAATTGATGCATGCTTTAAATTACAGCATATGTATGATTATAAGCAAAATTAAGCTTGCAGCTTCTCAAATATCATTCTGTTTTCGGAAATTTTCATTTTTTATTAAAATCTTTTCAACAGCATTTTAAAAAGAAACATACGTTACCATTGTTTAAGAGCTAATCCATTCAAGGAAGAACCCAAACAAGAAAGAAAATTAACATGTGTGTAACTCTGATATATTAACCACAAATTATGGCGAGTTATACACTATTGAGTCATGTTTCATCCAACTTTCAATGTAAAAATGAAACATATGTTACAGAAACATACGTTACCAACTTTTTAAAGTAAGTTTATTTAGACGGAAATTGAAGTCAGAAAGCACGTATAACAGCAACATTAACTTCAATTTGACATTAGTAAGGAAATTTTGTTAACTTTGATCAAGTTTTAACTTGTTTAAGTAACCACAGTGAAACAAACATTACTTTTATTAAACAGACTTTATATTGTTTACACATGAAAATATAAAAACATAAAATCGCATTTTTATGACAATAGAATGATGTACATTTGATTCATAAATAAAAAAAATTGATTTTACATGTGAGTTTCAATTCTGTGATGAAGTTCATAAATAAGCCAGTGTGAAACATTACGTTACTCCAACTTACAATTCAACAATTTTTGAAAATTAAAGATAAAGTTGGTATTAGCATGCCTGTTATTAACAGTTAGTTTGTATAAGATGTAAGAAGATACAAAAGTGTTTTTGCAAAGGAAAGATATTTTCATAATATGTTGCAAGCTGTTGAAGTTCTCAACAACAACTAATTCGTTTCTGCAAAGAGCTTACTGGCTGTATTTCATTATAATATTATATATGATAATGTTAAAATAATGTCCAAAGATATAAATTAGTTTACAAAAACTAAAATTGTTTTCTTAACCTTTACTTCTATTTAAATAAAATGAAACATACGTGACATGCTATATGGGGATAAATATAGAACTGCTTAGCAAAATTTTTTCCAAATATGAAGAAAGTGGAAAATTGAATGCTTTGAAAAAGGTTGCTAAATACAACATTTGTGTATGCATTCGACCTCTCATATATTATATATGATATACATCCTTTGAATGAAGACATATTAAAATTATCATTTCCAAAGTTGACTTTTTTTGTTTCTACGAATATTTAACTTTGAAGAAATTAACTGAAAAATAGCAAGGTACCTAACTTCCTTGAATTTTCCTGGGTTAGAAAGTCCCTCTAGATAGAGAATTTACAGATTTTGATATATTGTACAGACATTTGTTATTTATATGCTGACAATATGTTACATTATTAGATATGAAATGTACGTTACCAAGGAAATACAGTGTCATTACAGAAATAAATGCCATCTTGTTATATTATAGTTTCTTGTGGCTAACTTGCAAAATACCCTAAACTTTTACTTCAGCAATAAAAAATGACACAATGACAACATCAGATTTTTAATATTTTCCAACCTCAAATGCTTTATTAGTCCCCTACCGGTTTACCGGAGGGGACTTTAGGTTTACCCTCCGTCCGCCTGTCCGTCTGTCCGTCCGTCCGTCCACAAAACTGGATCCCGCGATAACGCAAAAAGTACTGAAAATATTTTAATGAAACTTGATATATGGATAGATGGCAGTATGGAGATTATGCACGTCTTTTTCTTTTCTTCCTATGTTGAAAATTCTGGTTGCTATGGCAACAAATAGACTGAAAATATGGCAAATTTTACACATAACCTGGATCCCGCGATAACGCAAAAAGTACTGAAAATATGTTTATGAAACTTGATATATGGATAGATGGCAGTATGGAGATTATGCACGTCTTTTTCTTTTCTTCCTATGTTGAAAATTCTGGTTGCTATGGCAACAAATAGACTGAAAATATGGCAAATTTTACACATAACCTGGATCCAGTGATAACACAAAAAGTACTGAAAATATGTTTATGAAACTTGACATATGGGTAGATGGCAGTATGGAAATTATGCACATCCTTTTCTTATCTTCCTATGTTGAAAATTCTGGTTGCTATGGCAACAAATAGACTGAATTTCAAGATTTCTGATTCTAGTTTTTAAGTTTTTTCACTATAAGTTCTTTATTTATTAAGGTATTTTCTTCAAACTTTAAATATAAGTTGCTTGTCATCAACCACATCATATGTGACAAGGTTTACAACTCTAGCACAAAATTTATCAGAATTACCTCCCTTGAACTTAAAATTTTCATGAAAAAAACATTGTTTTTTTTTAATAACTTCTTTTTCTGAATGTTTCTACTTCAAACTTCATATAAATGTTTCTTATTATCACTCAACATTTGTGAGTGTTCAATACTCTAGCAAGACTATTTCCAGAATTATGCCCCTTTTGAACTTAGACTTTTTTTGAGAAATTGGTAATTTTTACTCCAACTTCTTCAATCATGATAGGATTTTAAAAATGTTATATTTTGATAACAGGGATATGTTTAAAAAATAACTTTAGAGTGTCCTTCAGTCCGTCTGTCTGTACATAAAAACTGTTTCCTGTGATCACTTTTATAGAACTTTTTCAACAAATTTACTTAAAATAGGAACCTAAGTGAATGGCCAATGGCCCTTCAGAATGTTGCTTGGGCTCTTACCGGTAGGGGACTTATGGATTGCTTGCAATACTATGATAATTGCTTGTTTTATTGAGAATAGGCGTTATTCACATTGCCACGCCTTTTTTGTGTCATGCCTTTTGTCTTGCATAATTACGCCTTTTGATTCGGGTTATAATGCACCTTTATTTGTGCAATTACACCTTTTGTTTTGCGTAATTACGCCTTTTGATTCTGTTATAACACCTTTATTCCCTTTACAACGCCTTTTGAATTGCGTTACCACGCCTTAAATCGAGTAACTACGCCTTTTGATTTGCATAATTACAACATTCGATTTGCATTATAACGCCTTTATAATAGTCATGTTACTTTGCCTTTATTCGTGTTGCTACACTTTTTAGTTACGCCTTTTGATTCGCGTAATTGCGCCTTTTGATTTGCCTAATAATGCCTTTATTCACATTATAACGCCTTTTATTTTATTTGGTACTTTTAGGCTTTTGTATTCATTGCAATTTTAATGTTATAAATTAAATACATTAGAAAGTGATCATATTTATGTGCTATTGTAAAAATATTGTGGTATGTATTATATAAGGTCTACATTTATAGTAAGATATAATAAAAACAAGAAGGCCATGATGGCCCTGAAATCGCTCACCTGTACATAGGCCCCTGGGCCAAGGCCAATTTTAACCAGGGGCTTTTATTTAAACAAACTTGGTAGACACTTACTAGAAGATATTTCATGCTTAGTATCTTAACTCTAGCTCTTTGAGTTTTTTTGTAAGAAGATTTTTTTCAGTTTTTACTATACACATATAAGGAAAATCAATGAACCCTGGGGTGGGGCCAATTTTAACCCAAGGGCCCTTATTTGAACAAACTTGGTAGACATCAATTAGAAGATGTTTCATGGTAAATATCTTAGCTCGAGCTCTTTGGGGATTTTAAAAGAAGACTTTTTAAGTTTTTACTATATACATACAGGAAAAAAACAATGACCCACTGGGGTGAGGCCAATTTTTACCCCAGGGCTTTTATTTGTACAAACTTGATAGACACCCACTAGAAGATGTTTCATGCTTTATATCTAAGCTCTAGCTATTTTGGTTTTTTAAAATATGATTTTTTAAGTTTTTACTAAATACAAATAAGGAAAATCAATGACCCCCCCCCCCCCCCCCCCCCCCCCCCCCCCCCCCCCCGGGTGGTTTATGAGGAGATAACGTTGAAAGTAAATGTTAACGGACTGGCGAAAAGACGCCAGACAAAAGGCGACCTACAGTCATAAGATTTGATGATGAGTTTTGTCATGACTAGTAGATGACCCCTATTAATTTTGGGTTTCATATGTCAATGTGCAATTTAGACACAATGAACTTGACAAAAGAAATCTTGCTTCTTTTAGATTTGTTTAATTACAGAATTAAGAAGGCTTTTGCTTTATATGTAAAATTAACATAATTATTCTCATTAAAAGTCATTTATCAAGTTCACAGTGACAATGTTAGAAATAAGAAGTTTATGTGATAAGATGGGATATAATTATGTTTCACAATACAAATTACATAGTTTACATTTTTTCCATTCAACTTGAAATGTCCTTGGATATTAATGAATGGTTTTATGCACAAAAACTTTATCTAATAATTACCTACACAAACCTCAATAGCTTGATTAAATAATTAAATAAGTTATGTGTTGCAATCTAAGCATTAACATGATGGATGTCAAACTAGGGCATGTGGTTTACCTTGCTAAATGTTTTATCGCTTAAACTGCAGTCTGAATGTGAACCCTGCAATATTTGCAGACACTTAAGGTGTAGGTTAAGTTCTAGACCCCCACTTAACTGATAACATATATTTAAAACTAAGTATGGTACCTAACATATTTGTAAATAACAATGGTTTCAACTATTCTTACCATTCATTAATAACCTTGTAAATTTAATGTTGGTACAGGTATGTGGTGGTCTGCAGCTCTATCAATTAGAATGTCTTTGATTCCAAGCAAAGATCTTGATCAGAATGTTTTGCATGAAGACGCTGTAAAAATTCAGCTTTAAAATGAGCAGTGGTTCTGTTTTGATATCAGCTTGTGACTCAGTTATTTCACAGATGGAATCTGAGGTTTTTTTCTTAATCAGCAAAACCTGGAAAGTCACAATGTTGGTGAGACTTACACAAATATTAAATAAAAGAAACAACTGCGGTATAGTGGAGATTGAAGAGTTTATTTTTCAAAACAAAATCATAGGAGAGTATTTCTTTTTCTAATTCAGTGTCTTGGGATTACATTATTAACCAGGTTTTCCGAAGGAAAAAACTGGTTATTAGATTGAGGTATGTCGGGCGGATGGGCGGACGGGTGGGCGGGTAGGCGGGCGTAAACAATTTCTTCTGTGCGCAACTCCTTCTACATTTCTCAACGGATTTTGACCAAACTTTCACAGAAGCTTTGTTATCAAGTGCCCTAGCGCATATTGTCAGGGTTTTACGATTGGATAATATTTGACCTAATTATGGCCCTTTGTTTTTTTTCCTTATATAGAATATATTGTGAACAATTTCTTCTGTGCGCAACTCCTCTTACATTTCTCAACGGATTTTGACCAAACTTTTACAGAAGCTTTGTCATCACGTTCCCTGGGGCATATTGTCGGGGTTTCGTGATTGGATAATATTTGACCTAATTATGGCCTTTTGTTTTTTTCCTTATATAGAATATATAGTGCTGAACTTCTCCTACATTTCTCAATGGATTTTGACCAAACTTTCACAGAAACTTTGTTATCAAGTGCCCTGGTGCACATTGTCGGGGTTTTTGTGATTGGATAATATTTGACCTAATTATGGCCCTTTGTTTTTTTCCTTATACAGAATTATCAATATATAGTGAACAAATTCTTCTGTGCTGAACTGGTCCTACATTTCTCAACGGATTTTGTTCAAACTTTTTCAGACGCTTTGTCATCAAGTGCCCTGGTGCATATTGTCGGGGTTTTGTGATTGGATAATTTTTTATCTAATTATGGCCCTTTGTTTTTTTTCCTTATACAGAATATATAGTAAACACTTCTTCTGTGGCAATTCCTCCTACATTATTCATGTTTTACATTACACACAGTTACATTGTTTGTTGCTTGTATTTCAAATACAACATATTTATCTACAATGGTGATAATTGAAAACCTGGTTTCATTTTATTGCCATGTTTCTTGTTTTTATTTGAATGACTTTTATTTACAGTATGTGCCTGTCCGAGGTGAGTCAGTGATTGGTATTGTAACAAACAAAGGTGGTGATGTGTTTCGTGTTGATATAGGGGGAAGTGAAATGGGATCCTTGTCGTATCTATCATTTGAAGGGGCAACAAAAAGAAATAGGCCAGATGTTAAAGTAAGTAATTGTGATAATAGTATACGGTATTAAACTCATTGTTCTCCCTATTTATTGTATGTAGAACTTTTTAATGTTGCAAAATAGAGAAAAAAGGAATCCCTGAATAATGTTCACAATGGCAAAATTGAAACGTTGCAGATTGAGCCTGTTTTATGGAAGATACTGGAAAAAGCAAGCTAACATTTAATATAAAATGGTAAACTTTTTAATTTAGATGTGCTCATATGTTGGTTTTCACTGAACCTTGAATGTGACACGCTAGTGCCATTCCATGAAAAGCAGCGCATATTCCCCAAGAAAATGAATCTGTATACCCTAAACTAGAAAACAATGGTAAAACAAGATAAAATGGGACTTTGAAAGGGATCAGATGTTATGAAACATGCATATTACAGACAAGCTGACAGAAGACAAATTTAAAAAGCAGGCAACATATCCTATGGTTGATTATACAGTATTTTAAAGCCTGTTCAGTTTCATCTGATTCTTGAGAGTATTTCTGATTAACTTTACTGGTACTAACAACATCTATAAGTTGAATTCGGAAAGCAAAAAACATGCGTGCATTAGCTTTATATTTTGCACTTACTTATGCTTATTGACATTCACAAATAATTTGGGATAGAATACAGCAAGTGGTAGTGTAATTCGGATGCTATTTTTTTTAGGTTGGAGACATTGTGTATTGTAAGATGCTAATGGCAATGAAAGATATGGAGCCCGAGTTGGTGTGTATAGATAGTACAGGTCGTAGTGCAGGGATGGGAGTCATTGGTCGTGATGGAGGGTTCTTACACTGTTGCTCCCTTAATCTCATCAGAAAGTAGGTTTATCTCTTATGTATTTTTTGCCAATAAAGAGTATTTTTTATTCAAATAACTGTTCTTCAGTACCAATGGCATCAGTGGTTAATACCTTTGACTTTGAATCCTCAGTCCCTCATTGTAGTGGCTAAGAATTTTAGATATGAGGTACATGTTTCTATGCAGGTTGTTTATGAAAGGTTGATGGTTCTATCAAGGTACCTGCACATGTCTTTAATTATACATGGCCAATTAAGTTCACTAATTAGTAACACTGGGAACATTTGCTGAAAATACCTTACCAATGGAGGGTGTCCATGGCAGAGTGGTCTTTGACTTGACCCTCACCAATGTGGTTTAATCGAGTCCTGCAAGGGTCTTTAGATTGGTTCATGTGAGGAAGCTTTCCAGCTTACGGGTGGATGGTGGTTCTACTTGGATGCCTGATTTTGCCTGAAATAATGCACAAGTGGCACCTTAGTTCTTCCTCCACCATTAAAGCTGGAAAGTCACCATATGACCTTTACAAACCCAGCCAAAAAATTATGATCAACCGAAAATTTATGCTGATATCTGTATTTAATATTCTGTTGATTTATAATGTATAACAATTTCTGTGCATGATATCAGCTCTCATAATTAACTTTACAATTTATCAAACAGTACAAAGAGTATACTTACTTTTAACTGAAGTAGAACAGAGATTTTATCAGTCAATGAAGTACCAGTTCTAGTACTGACACGAAACATATATAAATACATGTATGGAATCTTTGAGAACTTGCATCCTTGTACATCTCATATTAATATAAATGTACTTATTTGCAGAATTTTATCATCTGATTGTCCCCTTTTGAAACTTCTTGGTAAGACCATGCCTTTTGAGATCACAGTTGGTATGAATGGAAGGATCTGGGTACGAGCCCGAACAAGTACACAAACCATAACTGTAATCAATGCAATATCTACAGCGGAATACATGGACAACACACAAATTTCTGCAATGTGCAAAAAACTTTCAGAAGCATTTATTGAGGTTGACTGATGTTGATTAAAATGTGGAAATTTTTTTGAATTCTTAAGGAACTGTTTAAAGATTTAGAAAAGTACCAGTTACTGAAGCATTATTCATCATAACAAATGGTGCATTAAGGATGTAAAATGAAGTTTTGATGGAAAATGAATTTCTACATGGTAAAAATTTACTTGTTATATAGACATCTCAAGTAACTCCTAGATATAATTTAAACCTACATCCAGTCTTCCATCTTACATGTGACAAACTCAATTATTCGAAAATGGAAAAAGTAGTATGCACAAAGAACTTTACTATTTTCTTCTGTGTCAGGAATGAAACTGAACATCATTTTGAATTTCTGTTCAAATGTAAGTGTGTAAAAGACAAACATATTACTGTATATTTTAATTGCAAAATAAATTAGATGATGATCTATAATGCTTCATTATTACATGCTTTACAGTGGTTTATAGAAATATATCAGTGGAAAAAAAAAGATATTTCACTGTTTGAAACAATGAAATTATCAATTTGATATTTTTCACTGTTTTGAATTTAAGCCCGTTATGTTGTTTCAGTGAAAATACCTGCCTTCACAGTTCTGGAAACCAAATTTATGATTTGACATCATCACGTTGATTATTATTGAGGCGCTTTGATCCCAGGGCTGTAATTTGAAATTATTTCATGAGATGGTGCTACACACAAAATATCTTAAGCTCTTGGCCCCGCACTTAAGAGGATTAGATTTTTATACTACCCGAAGGGTGAGCATATAGTCACTGCTCTGTCTGGCCGTCCGCACTATAAAGTAGGGATAGGGGGCCCAACTAACTGTAAACAGAACAAAAGAGAACAATTGAGTTCATTCTGTAACAATAGAGTAACGGGCCATTGCTCCTCTGTTAAACCAAAGAAAACAAGAGCCGTCACCCAAGTGACAAATGCCCCCGAAAAGGTATTTAAGCATGCAGGTATTATGAAAAGAAAAGAGAATGAAAGTAACTAATTGCTGAATATTGTTCTTTGTATTATTGTACCTGTAATCTCTAATTGTGATAGCATGAACCTTCAAAATATAAGTGTGACCTTGACCTTTGAAGAAGGGACGTGGTTCCTGGACGCAACAAAATGTTATGAGAGACATTTGTGCAAAAATTATTTCAAAATCCCTCAATGTATGACAAAGTTACAGTCTGGACATGATTGTTGTGTAAGTGGGGACACACTGACATGAGCCTTAGCCCCTACACATTGTCTTGATGTGGTAGACATTTCTGCCAAGTTATTTTAAAATCCTTCCATGCATGACAAAGTTACAGTCCATACATGAACGTGTATCTTCAAACTCTTCTTGAGAGAATGAATACCTTCAAACTATAAGTGTGACCTTGACCTTGCTAATATTGTACACCACATATTACTATATGTACTTACCTGCAAACTTTTGTCATCTGTCCCCATTCTGAGATCATACCTTTTGCGAACACAGTGGGTATAACCAGTAACTAACACAAGTCTTTTTTCAACACTTATCTTTATTAAGTGATTAGCAGAATAAAATATGTCAGTTTTTACATAAATATATCAACAATATTCAAAGTTATATTAGCTTCATCTTTTAAAATAGTTGTTTGTGAGACCTCCAATTCTCTTAAAAAATGTTTTGCAATTTTTTTAAAATCGAATCTGTACACAAGATGTGCAGTCCCTAAATATTCTTACGACAGAAGATAAGAATGGTTTAATATTTATTTCTATCAAATAATCCTTTTTCTATATTTGAGGAAATAATCACTGGTCATTATATTTCAAAATGATTTGAAGTGTTTTCACAAACTATACTCTTGCTAGTTTTAATAAACTTCATGTATCCAAAATGATTTTCAAGTTTTTTTTTCTGTTTGTTTCAAAATAATAAAAGCTAAAAGATGTAGCACTAAATCTGTGCAGAGGTAAGTCATATTCAAGTCTAATATATGATGACGAACATTGTCATGATCTGATCATTCAACTGTCCGTAGCTTTATAATGATCATCATCTATTGTTGAATATATGTGCCCTTCACTGCTCAAAAACTCAATTGCATCCCTGAAATTTATATATAACAATGTTTACAGGTAATCTGATATTAATAAATTACCTGAACTGAAATACAAAATTTAATAAAATTTTCCATTTTCAGACTTATTGTACAATGTATTAGTATAAAAATTACGTCTTTTTAACCCTAAGAAAAATTGTACACTTTATTCCATGTACATTTTGCAAAGCCTATAAATAATTATTCACATATCTTTTTAATATGAATTTTTTTCTTTTGAGAACATATTTCATTCATGGACATACATGTATTGATATAGCAAATTTTGTTTCGGGAATATTAATATAATACTGTGAAACCCTCAAACATTCTTATTACACACATATAGATATAAATGCATCTTTTTATATGTGTAAGATAATTTATACAATACTGTTTGACCTTTCTGTATTACCTTAAATCAATTAAAATTGAAGAAATATCTACAATTTCATAAAAATGTTCAGCAGAACATTACTAGATGATTGTAAGATTTTATATAATTTTGACCTACCTGATAGCTTTTTCTGGGACTCCTCGTACTTGCTTACAAACAGATTCCACACTTGCACCTTCAGCAGACAAGTTGTTCCGGATGGCAATATGTACCTATTATAATATAACGTTTAAATTTGTCATTGATTAGCCTTATCTAATTTATTAGAAAATTACAGTGTATATGTCACTGTCTGTTACTGATTACTGAGAATATTTGAAGAATATAATTTTCTTTTACCTAAAATCCATTCTTCTTTGGAAAACCTTTCCGGTATTTTCAGTGTAGATTATTTCTTTTCAAATTTTTTAAGAATTTTGAAACTTCTGACTATTTAAAATTGTATCATATAACTTGTAAGTAGTATTTTAACTGACCTGGTTTTGTATAGAACTTAGACCACTGACCATACCATCTCCTGCATCCCCATATCCTTGTGTAGTGTTCCCCTGACCTACTGTTCCATTCATTCCTCCCTAAAATAAAATCTTATGTTTTATATAGTAACAGTCACAGCCACTTTACACCTCACAGCTGCTAGAAAATTAACCAAATAGCATTTTAGAACAAGAGTTGTTAGAGAAGCAGCAAACTCAATTTTTCTAAATTCTGGACAGTAAACTGCACAATTTCTAAATGAAGAGATAATTTGAAGTAAACATCAAACAGACCATGATTTTTGTATTCAAAACTGAGTGTGGCAGGCAGAACTCATCAAGATGCATCCACATATTTCAACAGCTTTATTGGCATTGAGGTAAATGACCATAAACAAAAACTTTATCAAAAAAGTAAGTTAACCAACACCAAAACCAACAAGTAGGTCATGACAACTTTCTTTGAAAAATGAAGCTAAAAAATAATTTCAAATTGCAGTTAACATGTTTAAATATACTTACATTAGTCTGTAATGATGCCAGGGAAGCATGGCTGTGTATTACTTCTAATATATGGTACGTCAACTCATTCATGTCAGTTACTGGAGAAATCTTGAAGGCTACAATACTTTTCTTCCCCGCAAATGATCGTACTGTACCTCGTACACGGACATATGTGTTTTCTCGCATAGCCTGTACCCTCTCTTCATCTGGAACCGATTCCTATTTGTTTTAAAAATATAATTATGAAAGTAATATCAACAAATTTTTTTGGGGGGTAATATTCTTTTGAAGTGGCATGCCTCCAGATGAGCTAAAATATTTAAAGAAAATAAAACTTGAGAAAAATGTACCAAGGTTTAAAGAAAAGTAAAGAAATTCAAGTAATCATTTATCTGCGATAAATGACTGATTTTGCAATATTTGTCACCATACTTCTACTGTGTGACTAATGCAGTAAGGTCTATTTTGCCTATTTTGACCCCTTTTTGTAAATTACATGAATTGTAAGTGCCGTTTACAATTTTTGTTCCCTTAAGAATATTTTACTTTTAAATATATTTTGAAAATTTGAATGAATATGGAGGCATGATACTTTAATAAATGCACAAGAGATATTTTCCTACTGTCAAATGTTTTCAACTTAACAATCCTCCAGATTATTTCTCCAATATATGGCCCATTTATTTTAATATATCATATTACACAAATAAATATATTCTATTGATTAAGCATGGTACTTAGACAGATATGTCATACCCAAATAGAATAATAATATATCTTTGCCGTAAGTAACTAAAGATGAAATATATATAATGTATATATACAATATTAATGACATACATCATTGTCTACAAATTGTTTAACTTCAAGAGGTGGTCCAGTGAAATCATCTATCTCATAGTCTAACCGAGTTGGTGATTCCTTTATTGTCTGTACTAGTCCGACTAATGTCACCTGTAAAATTGAAAAAGAATCTTCAGATAACAGATAATTAATTTCATCATGAACAAGAGCCATGTCAACATGGCCATCCCCTGCCGAATGTGTTTGCTCATTGGAAGAATGTATATGTATTAGAGCGGAATAATTCCATTTTAAGAGGTCTTTTGGTAATGAAAACTGATGGCTATAGTGATTACAGATTTGAAACCTATGTGAATACTGATGGCTGAAAATAACAAAGGGCAATTACTGAAAAATAATGCAGGGTAGGTTATCATTCTTGTGTGCTGCATCCCTCCTCAGTAAAATCTATCCACCTATGAAGTTTCAAGTTGATACCTCAAATACTTTTTGAGAAAAAAATTGAATTGAAAAATTAAGTATGAAAAAGAAAAAAGGGCAATAACTCAAAAATTATAAAAGGTAGAGTTATCATTCTTGTGCAGTGCACACCTCCTGAGTGAGATCTATGCACCTATGAAGTTTCATTTTGATATCTCAAAGGCTTTTTGAGTTATGCTCTGGACAAAAATTAATTTTGAAAAATAACAAAGGGCAATAACTCAAAAATAATGCAGGGTAGAGTTATCATTCTTAAGCACTGCACTCCTCCTCAATGAGATCCATCCACCTTTGAAGTTTCAAGTTGATACCTCAAATACTTTTTGAGATAAGCTCTGGACAAAATAGCATGAAAAAAAAGGGCAATAACTCAAAAATTGTATAGGGAAGAGTTATCATTCTTGCGCACAACATTCCTCCTCAATAAGATCTATCCACCTATGACATTTCATGTTGATATCTCAAACACTTTTTGAGTTATGCTCCACTCAGGTGAAAAATTAGGTATGAAAAATAACAAAGGGCAATAACTCAAAAATTATGAAAGGTAGAGTTATCATTCTAGTGCACTGCACACCTCCTGAGTGAGATCTATGCACCTATGAAGTTTCATGTTAATATCTCATAGGCTTTTGGAGTTATGCTCTGGACAAAAATCAATTTTGAAAAATAACAAAGGGCAATAACTCAAAAATCATGCAAGGTAGAGTTATCATTCTTGTGCACTGCACTCCTCCTCAATGAGGTCTATCCACCTATGAAGTTTCAAGTTGATAACTCAAATACTTTTAGAGATATGCTCCGGACAAAAATGTCGGACGGAAGGTCGGCCGGACGGAGACTATTTCTATATCCTCCGCCGAAATTTTTCGGCGGGGGATAATTACTTATACCATCAGACATACAATTAAAATCCATGTACATGAAAACCTGTTGTTGCTAGGTGACCTTCATCATGAAACCTAATAGACTGTTACATCCTGGGAAAATTTCACAAAACCTTTATCATATCTTTCACACAATTACTCGAATTTTTATTCAGCTTAATTGATTAACAAGTTAAAACTTAAGTACTTAATTCTGAAGCTATTTTCAATAATCATTTCACTTTTTTTTTGGTTGGCTTCGTTATTTTTCTACTTCTATTTTCTGACACAAGCATTTCTTTATTTAAACAAACTGAATGAAAATAAAATGGCAACATTTCCCATTTCTACCACTTTAACCATATTCATAAATTTCAAATTATAATAAAAGCACCACATTCTGTGTTAACACTCGTTTGTTAATAATTTTAAGTTAAAATTGGGCATAACTCCAAAAATAATGCTTTCAAAATTATGCCCATTGTCTAACAATTGCACCTGGTCATGATAAGCAAGTATTCCAAGTGACTTTTTGAAATGTTTGAAAAATGGGCTACATAGTTTTTGCACAACAACAATGACAAGACAGTGACAACACTGATCATAATAGCTTCAGTTTTTCTTTGACACTGATGAGCTAAAAAAGGCTTGTTAATGTTTTTTTTAATATATCCTGGCTTATAGAACATGAATTTAAGTAGCAGTCTACATTAATTTAAAGCAGTTTTTACCTGAAATATCTCTATATCACCAGAAAAGAATTTATCATCAAGTTGTGTTGAGTTAATTACTTCTGCCACAGTCACAGGAACAATATTCTGAGCTCTTTGTCGTGATCTTTTCTCTTCTGACTGTTGTGGTGTACCAAATCCTCCAGGTGACATGTAACCTTGACCTCCACCTTGACCCTGGTCATATCCCTGAAATCCTGATAAACCAACAATATATATCAATGTTCCTGCCTCTGACAATGTGCAAATAAGCCAAATTGTAAAAACATTGTATTTTATTATCTCAATCATACAGAAATCACCATTTCTTAAATTTTTAAATAAAAAAGTTAAAGGAACGTGGCAATCTTCACTGTCTGCCCAGATTAACCCATATTACAGGTTGATCTCTTAATCACATGGTCAAACATTTTTACAAGATAGGAGTAAAGTGCTGAATTTGATATTAGGTAGTTTAGGTTCGAAATTAAGTGTTTTCCATGTTGATACTTGGCTTATTGAAAGATAGATTAGGATAAGCTAAACTGACTCCATGGAATGGTTGAAAAATAAATATGAGCACAACAGATCCTGAACATTATCATGGGTGGGCTTCCCCTTTGGGTCTGTCTTCTGCATACCCATATTTTAATAGTTTAAAACACCGTATTTTTTACATGAGGACCTTAATCTATTACCTACTAGGAGATAACAAGACAAACTACCTATCAGATAAGCCGACAGCGATAAATTACTGGTTTCATAGCAGTTCCTGCTCCAAATTGCACTTTTTTACAAATAAAATATGAATTTGTCAATGGACAAGTACTGAACACTGACAGGTCTACCTGTCCAGCATTTTTAACATGTTTTCGATGTTGCTCTTATACTTTACTTTTTAATTTGAATATGAGCCAGAAATTTAACACCTTTTCTCGCTTTTATTCAAAATTTCATTTCAGTATGCCAGACCTTATTCATTATGAATATAATTCAGTACCAGTAAGAAATGTTACTACTGTATGATTTTATCGAAGACATTGAATTTTACAACCTTTACCGCATTTTCATGTCTGCAGCAATATTGTTCTCATTAATCTGGAATGGGGACTCAATTGCTGCGTGTGATAATTCAAACTTGAATTCCCCAGGTGTTCCAAAATTATTCTTAAATGTATCAAGTTCGCTTAGGTCATATTAAATAAAGGCCAATCGTCAATTTTAATATATATAAACGGCTGTACATTTTGAATTGCTACAATGTGTTTTTGATTTTATTTACTTTTGTCCGAAAAGTTTTCTGAAGGGCAGGTAAATTTATATGGTGGCTATCAAAATTATTCGAGGCCTGGAAAAGACCACAAAAAATGCTGAACTTATCGGACCTCTTTGCACTAGATCAACTGTAAACAAGCAGATAATCTACTGGTTTCCTAGCAGTTTCCGTCCCCTGGCAGTTTTCTGGCAGTTTATCAATTTCGTCCAGTACAGTCTATTTTTACCATTAAGGCATCCACATTACTTCATCAATCAGAGAGACATTTGCTTTCTGTGCTAAACAGCATTTAAAATAGTACAACGATTTATGTTTTGAAGTTTTGCCTGTTTTCTAAAGTTAGATAAGAGAACTTGCGACTTTCAAAAATAAGCAACACCTGGGGAATTCTAGTTTGAATATCCATGCGCAATAACTATGACCCCATTTTAGGTAAATCAATACTTCGGAATATTTTTGCAGACGACACGGAAAAAGGTTGGGAAGTTCTGTTTGTCTGATAAAACCATCTTACCATTGCTTTATGGTCTTGATTTATATTCAAAATAAAAAAGGTCCGGAAAACTGCTATGAATTTTTGAATAAAGGTGAAAAAAGGTTTTATGTTTCAGGCCTATATTCAAATTAAAAAGTAAAATGAAGTGCAACATTAAACACATGGCAATGCTGGACAGGTACCTAACTTTCTCCTGTCAAAGATAATAATCAGTTGAAAACAAAATATAATGACCAAGGAAACAAACTTATGAAGGCCTTAGACTCTGCAGAAAAAATTAAAACAACTCTTGAAGATACTCGAAGAAAAGTCTCTGAACAGAGCAAGCATATTCAGTCAATATCGTTAAAATCAAACACCCTGGAGGATAAGTTAGCAGATGCAAATGCAAAATGCTTAATACAAAGTGAAGAAATTGATAAACTTAAGAAAATGAATAGTTTGATGAAAGAGGAAAAACAAAAGCTCATTAGTAAATTTACAGCAAGGAGTTTTGAATGATGAGGACAGAACACAGTGCACAAAAGAAATCAAGGATGATATAACTTCCATCAAACAAAATATTGATATCTTGATTTTGATAAGCAAAAAAGGCAGCAACTTTACATGATATTTCACTGCTCAGTATCAGAAATAGAAGCACAAAAACTTAAAACACAACATACAGCTAGAATCAATTCCAGATGAGGGCAACAACCAGCTCAAGGGTACTGTAGATAATGATGACAACCGAAATCTCATTGAAACTGACCACCATAGGAAGCAAGACAAATCAAATATTCAGTATCTATTTTAGGTGATTCTGTCACAAAAATATTAAGAACGGATAAAATGTCAACTGACAAAAACAAATGTTACAATACAGTCTCAAGGAGGTGCCCATGTTAAGGACATCCACAGTAAGGTGTCTTCCTTACTTGCCAACAAGCCACATGTTCAAAGCACAAACGTGTTTGTTATTCATGCAGGCATCAACAACATATTACATGGTGATCAACCGGAGGAGGTAAAGCAACAGTTCCTTGAATTGACAGAACTTTTGAAACAAAACAACCCACAAGTTAAAATAGTGGTCTCCTCAATATTACCAATGAAAACAGATATATCATACCTAGAAAAGATAAGAAATACAAATGAACTATTGAGGAAACTCTGTAATGAAAAAAATATGACCTTTATTGATCACACAGATTCCTTTATGAAATATCAACAGACAGACCAGTCACTTTACTCTGTTGAAGTTCATCTTAATAATCATGGAGCTGCAGTTTTTGCTAAACAAATCAAGGCCACAATAAGACAAGTACTTGACATCAACCCAAGGAAAACACCAGGAAATTTTCGTCAGGCCACTCGTCCATACAGATCACTGCAGTACCACCACACAAGAGACAAACCAGGCCTTGGGGCTTTCCACACTTCAATCATCCAACTGGGGCGTGGAGCTTACCCCCATGGATGTACACTTATCCACCACTTCAAAGATAGAAAACAGTCACTGTGACTTCCTACTTGAACAGCAGACAATTTGACAACAATCCATCCTGAAAGTGAAAAAATTTTCAAATGCCAATTTTAATGTAGATAGTGTAAATATTGAAAATCATTGCAAAAAATAATGAAAATACAATAGATAACAATGCTATAGAGCAAACCATACATTAAGCTCTAATGAAACTAACTATCTATCAAAGCAAGGAATTAAGTTTCTCCATACTTAACATTCATTATCTTTATCCAAAACTTGAAGAATTCAAAATTTTGCTACATCTTCATTCTTATTTGGATATTATTGGGCTATGTGAGACATTTTTTGAACAGTTACTTCTCAGACAGTGAATTTGAGCTTAAAGGTTACCAAATGTTTCGCAAGGACAGGAAAACAAATGGTGGTGGACTTATTTTATATGTAAATGAAATCTTTTCTGTGTTCCTCGGAATGATCTACAACCATGAGGACATTGAATCTATCTGGCTTGAAATAAAAAACAATCAACAAAAACCATTTATTTTTGGCTATATTTATAGGCCACCCATCATCACCTGCAAACTGGAATTCATGTTTAGAACAATTTTAGATAAACTATATATTGAAAACAAAGAAATCATATTGACCGGAGATTTTAACTTTAATTATGATCCATTAACTATGTCTACTAATAACACTTCTTGGAATAACATTACTAACAGTTTCAATTTGAGGCAGCTAGTTGAAAAACCCACCAGAGTAACTCAAACATCAAATACAATTATAGATCATCTATATACTAATTTCCCTAGCAATATCTCTGAAATCAATGTACCTGATTTATCAATCAGTGATCATTTTCCAATCTGCTTCACACGCAAAATCTCAACAACTGCTATCAAAGACCCTTTACATCAAATTATTCAATACCGAAATATGAAACAATTTGATGAAAAAACATTTTCTTGAATCTCTTGAACAGCAGCCTTGGTCAGTGTTAGAAATATATGATGACCCAAATGAATGCTTTGGATTATTTTAACTCTTTATTCAATCAAGTATTAAATGCTCATGCTCCTCTTAAAAAGAAACGTGTAAAACATACGCATCTTCCAGACTGGTACAATCCTGATATTCTTCATGCCTCTAAACAAAGAGATAAAGCTAAGAAATTAAATAACAATGAAGAATATAAATATTGGAGAAATAAAGTTAAAAATCTAATCTCAAATTCCAAACAAGGGTGCCATAGTCACAAAATACGCCCGTTTACGAAAAAGCTTTAGATGGAGATGGGGGCATTATGGATAAGTGTTATCTAGCAAGCAAGTTTTTATTCTTGGCACTGTGTTGTTTAAATGAACCTTAAAACAAATCAATAGGGAAGATATGCACAGAATGTGTGACCTTGACCTTGGTCGCAGGGACCTGAATTTTATGCACAGCACTCAGCCTCATTATGATGAACATTTGTGCCAAATTATATTGAAATCCCTCTATGCATGTAGAAGTTTTGCTCCAGACAAGTGTTTTTTCTATAAGCTCTAACTGTGACCTTCACCTTTGACCTAGAGACTTGGTTTATGTGCAGGGCACTACGTCTCATGGTGGTGAACAATTCTATAAAAGTAACATTAAAATTCCTCCATGCATGTAGAAAATATGCTCGGACAACATCTGGATATTTAATCATCTCCAGTGACCTTGACCTTGCAAATATTTAACCTAAATTAAATGTGTAACACCTGTAGTCATGATAGTTACCATTTGTGCTACAATCCATCAATAAATGATGACTAAATGGTCCCTATAACCATCTTCAAATTTTTATCTGAACTTTGACCTCTATGTGTAACCTTGACTTTGGTCGCAGGGATCTGAATTTTGCATGCGACACTCAGCCTCACAATGGTGAACATTTGTGCCAAGTTATATTGAAAACCCCTATGAATGTAGAAGTTTTGCTCCGGACAAGCGTTTTTTCAATGAGATCTAAGTGTGACCTTGACCTTTGACCTGGAGCATGCATGGAGCAATACATATCATGGTGGTGAACATTTCCATAAAGTATTATTAAAATTCTTCCA